CATGGTATTGTCACACTGTTTTCAAACTTAAAATTTCTTCCAAGTCTTGAGCTGAATTTGACTTCAAGTTCCATTTCCAAGCCATTAGAAATACTAGCTAGTCATATTATTTTTCTACAGCAAGAGTTGCATTGTCATCTATAAAGTTTGTACTTCAAATCTTATTTAGGTATCACACACATATTCTATAATACTTTTGCTCAATAAAATTTGGTTTTCCACCCTACTTGATATAACATGAGTTATTGAATAAATTTCTATTTAACATTTTTATTGGTTATTCTAGGCTACAAGAAATTTATCAACACCTTCTATCACATGCATTTATTACATAAACATGCTCATGACATGATTTAGTAGTTTGTTTAAGGCGTAACACCGAGGGTGTTACAAAGTTGGCCACTTGTTTTTTTTTATAAAATCGTCTAGATCCAATGGCTATAGTCGGCGACGATGATTAGAGTCAACCGAATTAAAGATCATGTGTTTATAATTATTGTTAGAATTTATAGGAGCTGTCTTTTATAGTGTGTCTCATAATGATACGATCTCGTTTAGGCCTTTAATTCGTAACAGTGAGGTGCACATTAAGCTTGCCTAAATTTTGTGAATTAATATAGCTAACAGCAATAACAAGGACATTCATTATTGGAACTTTATGTTGTCAGTTGAACAGCAAACCTCATTTTCATGAACAAAGAACCATTCTTTTCTTTTCCAAAACTGAATAATTTTCCTTTCAAAGAGAGGGAAACCAAAGTAGCAGCTTTCTTTAGAGAAATGGAAAGCAGAACTTATCATACAAGATTTTCAACAATGTGGCCCTAACAAGCAGGCAAGGTAGCTAAATGAACTATACAAGAGCGCGTGATGCACTACAAATGGAATCTCGACTCCCAACCTATCATGTTGAGCTGATGAATTCACTTTTTCTTTCTTTCCCTCATGTTCAGCAATGCTCCGAAGGAGATGGTTTGCGATTGCGCTTCCTCAAAGCAAGGTGTATGAGTATACATCAACCATTTTTTTCCGATTTATAAATCCAATTTTTTAAATATATTGCCAAGAAAAAATGAATAAGAATAGAAAAACATCAGAAATGATCCTCAACTTAAATTCCTCTATGCTAATGAATGAATTGCTTCATAATTCGTCGTTGTGATTTTCTACCAAGAGGTAACAAATTAAATTCCTCGATTTTTATGGTCTTGGAAGGTACCAAGAGGTGACAAGAAATATATAATTAGAGAGGTAAGGAATTTTCTACCAAGGAATCAAATTTATTAATGCCACACTTTTACGTCCTAAACCATACAAACACACTAAACTCATTGTGCCGGAAAGTGCAATCTCGAGAAGAACATCTAACTAGCTCAACTCCCTTTTCTTCTCACACAGTCACCGTTAACCTAGACAGTCAAGAGTGAGCTCTATCAAATCCCCAGAATTTTGTGGTGAATATCGGAATAAGAAGTTGTTCCGTAACCAGAAAGTGATACCTTTCTTATTGTGCTTACCGGCTTGGCCACCACCTTCTTTTCACTTCACTACATTTAAAATGCAAACATAAGCTAACTATCTCCATTTCACGATCTGACTTCCTCCCGAGTCTAATCACGTGAGCTTTTTTATCCGCAAGTTTGCATCTAATTCTTATACACAACTAGAATCCCATAACATGCGGCTGCTGCTCCCCTGAAATGCCTAGTCAATAGATGAGCCCAGATTTGGCAAGCAAAAACATGAACGATTCGGTCAGGTGTCCTTGCCTCCTCTTACTGAGTCGGAGCACATATTCTACCACTGCCTTGTTGCATCAATGTCAATCAAATACTCAAATGCACAACTTGAATCCTAAGGATTTCATCAGGCCTGAAAGGGAGGACGAAGAGAATAATCCGGGGGGACAAGCCTCCAGCCAAGCACAAAGCCAGAAACATCGACGAAGTTTTTTTTTTCCAACCGCGTCCCAAGTAGAATCAAGTGAGACTTATTCAGTGATAGCTTGACGCCACTGAAAAAAAAAAATGAAACACAATATCTCTGCCCTGCGCTGATTTTTCTGTTGAGCTGCTGATGATACTTGGAACTGCCTAAGAAATGACTTGGATGATGAGAAATGGATTTGAGTTGGAGGTGTCAAGGAAACATACATTCACTGGCGGACTGGCCCTTGCCTTGGTTCTTGACTTTCATCTCCTCAAGTTCCATGGCCACTACACATCACAGATCACACCAAGTACTCCCAACAAGAAAAAGTCGGTCACTGTTCCGGTTCACAAATGTTAGATATGTGAGCCACATGATCGTATATACACACATATTACTAAAAGAAAAGCTAGCTTGAAAACGAAGTGTTCGATAGGGGCGTCACAATTGGCAAGAAGCAAAGCAGGATAGCAACTGCTTTTTATACGATTTAATATGTTCTTGGTGGTTGCAATTAAGCGTGTGATTAGTGCTGCCACTCTGCCGAGGAAAGGACGCCCAAGCATGCGTCTCAATCGGCAACCCAACCTGTCGCTGCCGCTGGTCGCTGCGCCGAGGGGTTAATCGCCCAAATATTTCCGCGTCGGTCCCTGCTTTTGCAAAAGCATGCGTCCGATGGCGTCAGCCGCGGATCCGCTGCTGCCGCGAATAATGCAACAGTATTCCAGCTCTCTGGACAAAACGGAAATGGAGATGCTATGCATGCATATCAACAATGCTGAGCTATAGTACTGCTTTGGGCACAGGTTTTGGTAAGTACGTAGGGGATTTTTAGTGACAGTCTAAAGAGGACTATGCTCTGGTTTCTAGAGAAATTCCAGTGCATAAACTACTGGGAATTTCTTCTGTATTTTTTCCTCCTCTTCCATTTTTACTTTTTTTTACATCCTGAGCATGGTCTAAACTACAGGGAGCACCTCCTTTCAGCACCTGCACAAGAATCCCCAAATTGTTCGCATCTCTAGCTGTAAAGTTAAAATTCGGCCATTTTCAATTTGACAATCGTTTTTTCTCTCTCTCTTAAGTTTATCTCAGCTGACTCCAGCTAATTGAACCAAACCAGGGGCAAACAGTAGCTGCAGCCTGAAACGGCGGAGGCAAAATCATAATCTTGGAGAAAAACAAGGACAAAATCACAAATGAACTCAAGAGTAGGAGTAAGAACGCAATTGCCCCTTCATGTTTCTTGTCTTTCAAACATATGATTGGATTATTATTTCTTTGGTTTTCTATAAGAAAAACACATTTAGGTGAAAATTTACGATCACCTTTCTTTCAAACATATGATTTTATTATATTTCTTTATTCTATAATCGTCTTGCCTAGGTATCATCTTTATTGTTGATAAAGGTTTCCCCTACAGTTTCAGTTGATCCTATATTGTTGTCAGATAAAGATATGTAGGGGACCCTTGCTTCTATTTTCTTTTACCAAAAAAAAAAGAATAAAGGAATGTTTGCAGCACCTCATACTCTGCTTTGGCTACATGGTTCACCTATTTATTTATGGTTGGAATTGTCAGGCTGTGTTTAGTTGTAGGAATTTGGATTTTGGGCTACTGTAGCACGTTCGTTTTTATTTGGCAAATAGTGTTCAAACATGGACTAATTAGGCTCAAAACGTTCGTCTCGCAATTTCCCACCAATGTGCAATTAGTTTTTTTCTTTTCGTCTACATTTAAAGCAAAACATTCGGTCAGCAATTTTTGAAAGTTGGGGTAGAACTAAACAAGGGCTCAATTTGCAATTGCTTTTGCAAATTGTACCACTTATGGAGGATGAACAATGTCTTAGTCAGAAAGCTGAAAGAATGGTCACAACTCACAAGCCAAGCCAAGCCAAGAAAAAAGGGATCAACCCTACGTAGTTGGTTGCCCGTTGGGGTGTGCACCCACACCACCAAAAACTGACATAAGGCTCATATCCTCAGCTTATTACATGTGCATCTAGCAATGTTCAATTATCTTGAAAAGCCATAATATGATATCTTAGATTAATTACTACAGTACCAGCACCCAAATTGCTAAAGGAAAAGAAACTACAACTATTATACACAGTAAAGCGCTACAGTAGTACAAAAAGGAACGAGGTACACCAATCCATCCATCCTCTTAGCTGTCGAATCCCTATGGTAGTGATATAAAGCTCATCACAAACACTTACAATTATTAGCTGCAAAAAGGCTCATCACAGGCACTTGCAGCTCTGTGATCAAACTCATGGGTGTCGGACTTGCACGGTGCATACGTACAAGCAGATGTGATAAAAACTATAAACGATACGCATAGCCCATCTGCTTCATAATCTAGCTAGTGGCCTAACAATCTCAACCTGTTCATTCCTACAGTGGCTCTCAGTAGGTAAAGCTACACATCTATCCATACATCCAGCAGGTTCATGCAACTAACTCTTACAACTAGGTAAAGAATTTCTATCAGTAAAGTAATTTGTTGATGACAGAGGCCAAAGGCCGGGCATCTTGGGGAATGGAGAATACATTACAAGTGAAAGTGAGAGTTTGGCATGCATGAACGCTATCTAGAATAAATTTTACCATTAGACAAGACTACTCACGCAAGTCAAGTTATGGATGCATGCGAGACGGTAAAAGAAAAGGCCAATGTTCTCTTGAAAAGTAGTAGGGCAGAGCTAGAGGGGGTAGAAGGTTAAGTGGAATGTTGTTTGGATATTGTTGAGCATGAAAGGCGAAAGGTCGCCCTTCATGAGGCCATGTACCAAATCGACAAAACTAAAGCGACCAAATTCTACCAAAATAATAAAAAAAAGGAGGAGGCGAGAGAAGGTGGCTTCTCTCTCTAGTTGGGCAAGGCTAGGGGGCAAGCGAAACTACCTTTGGTACGCTATAAAAGGCCCTCACCAACCAAGTACCCCCTCCCCTCACCCAGAGCAAAAATCCACCAAGAAGACAGCCACATCGAGATCCCAGCTCGATCTCACCCTCGAAGGTCTCCAGCAGTCTCCACTGAGCAAATAAACGAGTGAAGAAGCAACATGCTGCACCAGCAGCAGCACCATTTCCATGGAGGAGTGGCTAGCCTTCACTGCCTCTCAAATCCGGACCAGGCATTCAACGCTCACTACCACAGCAACATGATCGCCATGCCGCCTACTCCGTTATTCCACCACCTCTCGCCTTCTGCCTTTGAACAAGCTATCCACGAAGCACCGGCGGCTGTCGTCGCAGCTGCCGGCAACAGTCCAGCCGGCTCCGGCAGTACCGATGACGCCTACGGTGGCGGCCGCACGGCAATGGCGGAGGCTGAGCGGAGGCGGCGGAGGATGGTCTCCAACCGGGAGTCCGCCAGGAGGTCACGCATGCGCAAGCAGCGGCAGCTCACCGAGCTGTGGGCGCAGGTCGTCCACCTCCGCGGCGCCAACCGCCGCCTCCTCGATGAGCTGAACCGCACAATGAGGGGCTGCAGTGACATGTGCTGCGAGAACACCCGGCTCGAGAAGGAGAAGGCCGATCTCAGTACCAAGCTCGAGCGCCTCACCCAGGCGCAGAACACCGCCACGCCAAGCTCCTCCTCAGAGCCGCAACATGACACCGCTACTGAATAAATTCATTCTTATCTTCACATTTTAGCTACGATGCTTGTTACTATAGTATACTAAATAAAATATGTTTTGAGGTGGATTTATTTGCCTCCTATATGTCTACAGGTATATTCTAACTACCTATTATTGGCATCTTTTTGTAAAGGTGGCCAAGACAAATTTTGATCAGGTGTACTAATTAACAAGCTGCTATCCAAAGTAACAACAGCACATAGATGAAAAAACAAGGAACTGCCCATAAACCAATAAGGAATAAGAAGCTTTATGATTGGTTTCAATTGATGCTTTCCACTGAAAATGATGTGGTGGATGGGATTGGGGGCTGCTGTAAACTCGCTCACTTCAGTGGTTTTTCAGTATTACTCCCTCCATTCCAAATTATAAGACGTTTTGGCTTTTTAGATACATATTTTTTTAATATGCACTTAAATATACACTATGGCTAGATACATAGTGAAAATCATGTATCTAAAAAAACCAAAACATCTTATAGTTTAGAACAAAGGGAGTATTTGAGAAGTTGTATTTCCATCAAATGAAAAAAAAGATTGCTTTGATTCAATCACAGAAAAAAGCAACACAATCAATTCATTCAGATGCTTATTGAATTTAATTCTCTTGAATTAAAAAGACAAATAAATATATGAACTTGCATTGCATCCTTGATTTAACTTCCAACAGAAATTTGATACATAAAGAAACCATTCTAAGTTGCTTAGGCGTGCTCTTTCAAAATGCCAAATTTGAACATAGGAAATTAAAATCTCGCAAGAGCAGGGATGTCAATGGGTCAGGTGTGGTGCGGGTGGAGCAAATACCCGCCCACGATAACACTCGCAAGCTATTGTCACACCCGCCCCCGACACACCCTACTGGTGCAATTTTGCACCCGCACCTACGCCCGCGGGTTGTGAGCACCCGTCGGTTATGTTAATCTCACAAGTAATATATCATCATGATTGTATTAATAATTATAGAAAGTTAAAAACAAGAGAAGTTTGCCATCTATATACCACACATCTAGTCAACTACCACATCGGTGCCATGTAATTATACAAGTTTTTGAAATGGACTAAAAATTTAATACTTAGGTGTCGAACATGTTTTTAACAACTTGACATGGATACTTAGTTACATGAGATCAGAAACATGTGCACTAGTTCAAGCACAATTTCAGAAGTGTTGCATCTAATTTTGACTTCACTTGGAAATAATATAATGTAGTAACCAGGCAATAGCGTACCAGGTTTGTTATCTTTCCAGTAATGCGGATGTCAAATTAATCTTGATAAAATTGCAAACCAAAGAGACTCTGACACAAGGACGTGTCTGAAATTTGCAACCGGCAATTGAGCCATCAATCAGTGCTGTCTAAAGCTTGTTGTGAGCATGTAAATATAAAATACAAAAAGCATAGACCACTTTGAGTTGCTCACATCACAAGGGCCAACCAGAGTATTTAGAAAGCAAGAGTATTGATAGTTGATACATACTTGCACAGGCGGGCAGGCCGCTGACAACAATAAAAAACCTCTGTAGGCTTGGTGATGCAGCTTTCCATACAACGGGACAAGAACCGGAAAGTACTACAGAGAGCCAACATTCAGATAGAAACATCTTACAGTTCAGTAATATGATTATGTAGATAAGAACATTTTACCCTCCCATAAATTACTGCAGAAGCATTTCCAAACATTCAGCTCTCGATAGTATTGTAAGTCCATTTGCAAGTATATATATATTTTTTAAATGCATTTACCTGTATGTGAGAATGTGTGTACCTGCTATGATGCTGTCAACTCTGAACCTTGAATACTTCGGGTTCTGTCCCTAGAGCTTTAAAAGAAATATATAAGAATATGGACAGTAATGAGGGCGTACCCAGTGCAGATAGCTCCCGCTCTGTGCGGGGTCTGGGGAAGGGTGTTAGTGGCAAGCCTTACCCTCGCCTGTGCAATGCGAGGAGACCGCGACTTGAACCCGGGACCTTCCGGTCACAGGCAGTAAGACTCTACCGCTTGCACCAGGCCCGCCCTTCATGGACAGTAATGAGATGAGAAAAAAATGGTAATCGAAAGAATTACCATGAAGTGTCAACAGCAGACTATCAGCATGCTCTCTGGAGTTATAAATTGCCATGTGAAAAAAGTTAGCTTCGTATTCTCATCCGCAAGTGTGTCACCGCGACATAAAAAGAAATTAAATCGCATAATGAAATTCAGAGTAATAAAGAAAATTTGGTATTCAGATTTGAGCAACCAATCAATAGTTCAATAGGGATAGTCTATAATACATCAATTTAAATACCAAGTAAACAACAGTATTCCTCGCTACATATGCTTTCTAGAACAGGTACAACAAACTGAATTTAGAGCAGGTTACAAGCATTTTTGGCGTCAATTTGCCTTTCCTGCTAGGTGTATACTTCAGGTTGCTAGCCTCAGGCTACAGAGGAACAGAACATAACCTGATTATCCTACATTAATCCATCAGGTCAATTCTTCTTGGATTGCTGTCTATTTCCAGGTGTTAGATTGTTTTCTGTGACCAAAGCACTAGCACTATTTTTTGGTGAGGCTTCACCAGCCAAGGGTGGAGAGTTGTTCTTGGCAGAGGAATCTGCTGCTGAAGATGGAGAATTTCCCTTCTCATGGCTATTCTTGTCGCGGGAAAAATTTTCTGGGTTTGCAAACGATCTTGTACATGGCCACCTATGGGGAAAAAGACATTCAGATGCTTGCTATACTGAAACCTGAGATGGTACTGATAGAGTGATAGCTCACAGGAAATATACCTGCTTGACCGGATTGTTTCACCTCCAACAATGGTTTCTGATTCAAAGATGTTCCCTATTAACAGAACAAATAGCAGAAAAGCTAGTACTGTTTTAAACTTCTAATCAATCAAAATGAAACTTTGCATCGAGATGCAGGGAATGTCTGACTAGAAAACACTTGTGAAACAAGAGGAATAACCATCAAATAAGGAAACTGTAATAAATAAATCCTCATAAACAGAGATACCAGAAAAAAAAACTCAACCGGACTGCCCCCATCGATTTGCTCTGAGAAGAAAACCCAGCCAAACCGGCCGAGAAACCCCCCGAACCCTGGCACTACCCCAGGTCCTCACCACTACAACAGGCTGGTGCTCAGCTATTTTTTGTGGGGAGGCGGAGCAAGTTTTTTTTGGGTGTAAGCCAGGATTTGAACCCTGTCTGGCTGATACCACTACTTGGTGACCAACCACAACAGAGAAATTTAACAATACATCACAGTTGAAATATACACAGTTTTCAGTTATTTACAAAGGCTTCTAGACTATTTGGACAAGCATTGACATGTAAAAGGACCATCTGCAAATTTAGCAGAATCATCCTAGTGACGTCCATCCAGTAAAATCATTTTCACCGCCATTTCCCTTTCTCAGAAAATCCCATTACTCTAGGAGTCCACTAGTGGAAGACAGCAAAGTAAATTGAAATTCAGAAAAGAAAATAGCATCTCATTAGATAACTGTTAACATAAATACATGCATATTGTTCATAGTTTCTAGTAGTAGCCCCCATAAGGCCATAAACATAGATTTGTAGTGCTTAGAGATGTTGATCAAATGACTTATCAACACAAAAGGTTCATACACAGACGATAGCCATATATATCATGTCTACTCAATGCTGACTAACAAATAATTTGCATGGTCCTGTTTGATGTAACTTTTCTATATGAAGTGCAATCTAAGGCTCTAAGCATACACATCAGATATAACAGACACTTAAGTTCTTAATACCTGTCTGACTAGCAGAGGAAGATGCATTAGCAAGTTATTAGTTATTTATTATCAGGCAGCCAAATAACAGATCTAAGGCTAGCTTCAGCTGACACTGAAAAGGGAAAAGCCCATTTTCCAGTTTAGCATCTGAAAAGAGTTGTGATGATCTTAAATTGATTGACATTCTAATTCAGGTAAGCTCAAACAGACCCTAGACTTACATAATTACAGCTATTAAATTACTGATGATTATTAGGTTTAAGGAGTACTCTTTTGTAACAGAGTTATGCCCTAGACTAACATACTGTGACTGATATGTAAGAGAACTTGAGTCATGGATTCCCGTCAAAAACAATATGAACAGTGCCACCCTAACTTTCGCTGATAATGTACTCAAAATATGTTAGAGAGAAGTATAACACATTTTCACTCAACGGCAGAGCTGCTACAACCAGACAAAATGATCTGATTGTCTGCGATAAAACAAAGAGAAAAATGGCATACAATAGAAATTAGGTGACTCTAGAAAGTTCAAGAGGTTGAAGAGTGCATGAGTACCTCTGTCAAAAGCCTTTTTAGAGAAAAACTTGGCCTTCAGACGGGCTGCAAGGATTGCTTGATATCTATTGATCTTCTGCTCATGCTCTTGGATTACTGCTTCTCTACACATGTTAAACACAACGCACAAAATTTACCGTCAACCTTGATGGCTTCTCAAAGTGACGACATGCAGAATCTAGGTCCAAAGCAAAGGAATACCTCTGCTCTGCCAATCATAGGCCTAACAGGATTAAGATGTTGTAATTTCTACTCCCTCCAATTGCAAGTGTAAGCTATACAATTCAAGGACCAAATAGGTTCTTCAAAATATAAGTGTATTTAATGTGTAAAGAAAAATAATCTAAGGTTTGATATTCTGAACCAAAAGGTAATTAGTCAAACAATTCAGTGTGTAACTTACTACAAAGTCAAAATTGTCCAGATCAGCTTGTCAATCATGGGATTTGGATACATTGTTGATAGAGAGACCAAAACTCTACAAGATAGAAGATGTGACATTACAGATGCAAAGAATCAATGTATAGGGACGAAACCTATGTGTGTTTTTCACTAAGTAGAGAACAGATGTCATCCTTTTTCTTCTTCTTCCAGAGAGAACTAATATGCTGGAACCAGAAAATTAGGAGAAATATGATGTGCAAATGGTAGCCTTCATACCTTGACGCACTTTC